AAAGAAAAAAGAAACGCTAGAATGAATTTCCTCTATGTTCACACACATAAACATATATGAGTATATGGTATATAGTTTCTTATTGTAAAGGTAATAAGCCCATGTGAAAACACAGACAAAAGTAAGAAATGGAAATCATTTCTAACCTCACTCAGGAAAAGATGATACTAATGCTTTGGCATATGTAATTGTAGTCTTATTCTGTAAATATTTATTTAAAATTTTAACAAAACAATTGAAGTAGTACTTCTTTATATTGTGTTTCATAATTATTTTGCATTTTAAATGCAAATCTCTTGTTATCTAGGGGACTCAAAATCAAGTAATTTGGTGAAAGGTGCCTATTTCTTTTAATTGCTACACTAAAAAAGTAACAGCAAAATATGAACATCTATTAGAAAATGAACTCTCACCTGTAATCCCAGCAATTTGGGAGGCCAAGGTGGGCAGACTGCTTGAGCTCAGGAGTTCATGACCAGCTTGGGCAACATGGTGAGCCTCTGTCTCTATAAAAAATACAAACATTAGCTGGGTATGGTGGTACCTGTAGTCCCAGCTACGTGGGAGGCTCGGGAGGCTGAGGTGGGAAAATTGCTTGAGCCCAGTGGCGGAGGTTGCAGTGAGCTGAGATTGTGCCACCACAACCGCATTCCAGACTGTGCGACAGAGGGAGACCCTGTCTCAAAAAGAAAAAAAAAAGAGAGAGAGAGAGAGAAAGATAGAGAGAAAAGAAAATGAACTCTGAACAAAACATGGGCAATCTCCAGTCAAAATTCGCTGGCGTGCGCCATCTTTGATACTCTGTTTTCCTTTAGCTCTCCTATCATATGAATTTCTTTAGTGAGTTAAATTAAAATTTCATTCCACTTTCCGAAGGCACAGAGTTCTAGTAAAATCTACATAGCAGATAATTCTAACCAACAAAGATGCAAATCTCTCACAAAAAGATCGGACTGCTACTTCTGTGGATCTGGAAGATGCTCAAACGTCATTTCAGTATGGTATGAACCAGTAGCCCCAAATAATAGATTAAATAATTTCCAAGAATAGTTAGGTCCCAGGCACAATGGTGTACCTAACATGATTACATACTTTTTATCTCATATGATCGTCATGGCAACTTTGTGAAATAGGTATTATAATCATTCTCATTTTATGGAGGAGGACACTGAGGCCAGTGGTGTTGAATACAGTGATGCCGTATTCTTTGCCAAGTTGAATAACTTGCCCAAATATAGGTAACTGGCCAGGCACAGTGGCCCACATCTGTACTCGTGACCCTTTGGGAGGCCGAGGTGGGTACATCACTTGAGGTCAGGAGCTCGAGACCAGCCTGGCCAACATGGTAAAACTCCATCTCTACTAAAAATACAAAACTTAGCTGGGTGTGGTGGCAGGTGCCTGTAATCCCAGCTACTCAGGAGGCTAAGGCAGGAGAATGGCTTGAACCTAGAGGTGGAGGCTGTAGTGAGCCGAGCTGAGATCATGCCACTGCACTCCAGCCTGAGCAACAGAGTAAGACTCCATCTCCAAAAAAAAAAAAAAAAAAAAAAGATAGATAGATAGATAACTGTTCACTCTTTTTATTCTAAATCCAATGTATTTTCTACCAGCCATAGCTATTTGAAGTGCTATAAGGGCAATTAAGACAAAGGCTGCATTATTGTCATTTAACAAGTTAAATATTTTGAAAAAAATCAGGCTCCTTCCTTATATCACACTTTAAAAATGCATCTTATATTTGAAGGTGGGAAGAAGTTTGTCTGTATCAAAAGTTTTAAGATATATATCCAAAAACATCATGAACAAAATTAAAAGACAAACTACAAAGAAAAAAGGTTAATATTTTTAAGATGGTTCTTAAAATTAAATTAGAACAAGAAATTTAGCAAGGGATATCAGCTAGCAATTAACAAAAGAATAAATACACAGTGTTAATAAGTAGAAACAAGCACTCAATCTTAGTAATAATAAAATGAAAATTAAAACTAACAAATACCATTTTTTGCTAATCAACTAGTATAGTTTAAAAAAAAAAAATGATGCCATGCCGTACACTAATACCACAGAAGGCAATGCATACAAACTTTTTGGAAGAGTTTGCTAATATGAGTCAAAAGATAACCAAGCAATTCACAATCAAAAAGTTATTTTAAGCAAGGATATGAAATAGTTTGTAAATATGTATGTAGAAGGATCACCATATTATTTAATTACAAAAATGTTCAAAATAAATGCTCAACAATAGAAAGATGATCAAATAAACTATGATTCATCTCACAACAATTACAATTTATGTTTTTGATTCTTTTCTTTACACTTTCATATAAAACCCCAGTTTTCTTCAATGAACCTGCCTTATTATTTTAATCAGGAAAAAACATTATTCTAGAGATATCATGAGCCAAATCCATTATCTGTACTTAGGTCTGTTCTAGATTGTGTGAAGTGATTTATTTAAGAAATGACACTCATGTTTATTATGCATTAACTCTGAAAAGCTCATCGTGCTGTATTCTTTGCCTATTTGATCTCATTCAAGCCTCATGACAACCCTGCTAGGTAGATACAGTCTGTGGTCAGCACTTTAGAGTTTCAGTGAAACTTGATGAACAATATTAAAAATAAGAGAATAAGGTTGCCTTCTGAGAGTTAAAGTTAAACATAATAATTAGGAAAGGAAATATAAAAATTACCTGAAAGCGACAGACTGGCCCCTGGACCTCATAGACTACGTGTCTTGATGCAGCTGAAAGGACAGAGAGGCCTAGTGGGCTAGGGCAGGGCAGAGAAGGGGATGTCACAGAGGCCAGTGTGGGCCACATCCATCCAAGAGCCTCAGCCAACACACTTCCAGAGCTTCCAGTCCCTTTGGTTGCGAGAGCTTTTCAAATTTGTATTAGCTGAGGAAGCGGACCACAGATGGGGGAGGGGTCAGATGTGACCAAGAGCATCCATTCCGGGGTGGTTGCCTTGGGACATCTTGGACTGTGCCATTCAGTGCTGGAGTCCTCCAGTTCCCCTTGTTCTGAAGCCTGGGGACACATCCAAACCTCACCTGCTTTCAAGGAAAGTCTACTGATAGGAAGAAAATGATGGTATTCACAGGCACCAGCATTCTGGTCCCAGTGAGAGCATCCTTACTCCGTGTGAAAGAATCCATGATCATTCTGATCTATCTGTACGCACAGTCAATTCTCATTATTCATGGTAGTCATGTTCCATAAACTTGCCCCAAGCAATGAATTATCGAATATTGAATCATTGCTCCCAAGGAAAATGTAGGGTTATGTTCCTGTGAGCCTCTGGCTATCACATTTTCATCAACAAATCACTACACAACCTTATTTTATGTGTGCTTCTGTTTAAAGATGCTGTATGTAATAGATCTCATTGAATTATAAACATTGAACTCCATACAAAGGCACTGTAACTCATGCCTGAATGAAGCTTGTCTCACACAGCTTATTTTCTCCATGAGACACATCGCAGCCTTCTTACACTTAGAAACACTAAACAGCATTTCAACATTATGCTTGGGGGCTATTTTAAACAGTGAAAACATCCATGAAAAGCATAAAAATGCAAGAAAGGTAGCACCAAGTAGACAGTGAAAAAGACACTGACTTAGAGTTGGAGGCCTGAAATAAGAAGGCAGAGCACCACTGTGTTTGATTCTAGTTGGGAATGTGCACATAGGGAGATGCTTTGTTTTGGGTTTTCTTGTTTTGTTTTGTTTTGCCTGTATACACATGTCCACAAATGACTCAGAAAACCCTGCAAGTATTAATTAGGGAGTTACAAATAAATTTTAGCAAGTAGGTGAATTCACAAATATAGAATCTGTGAATAATGAAGATCAACTGTATACCTCAGGCAGATTAACTTGATGAACTGAAGCCTAACATTGAAAAATGCACCTTCTCGTGCTGACAAAGTAGTCTACTGGACCTGCAGAGCCAAGGCCCAGGCCCCACATGTGCCCATATTAAGAATCAACCAGTTCTTCCCCAGGCAGCACATCATTCCCTCCCCAGGGGCTATGCCTTTTTGTCTCTTTGCACTTCTACACCAATGATTCTCAAACTTTAGCATGCATCCAGAAGGCTTGGTACAACACAGTCCACTAAGCCCACCCCCAGCATAGCTAACTCAGCAGGTCTTGGGTAGTGGTTCAGATTTTGCATTTCTAACAATTTGCCAGGTGATGCTCATGATGCTGGTCTAGGGACTTCAGTTGGAGAACCTCTCCTCTATACAATTTTCCTCATTTTAAAATCCAAAGCTCAGAAGTGTTGAGTAACTTGCCCAAAGTTTCATGCACAGCTAGAAACTTGCTTTCAAAATAAGATGCGGCTGAACTCATGTGTTCTACAGCCCTTTGTGTTCTACTGTAATATCTTTGGTGCAGATTTCATCATAATGTTGTACTTTAAGTAGTGGTTTTATTTCTAGGCTGGCCTATTCAATCCCAGTAGAGTTGGACTCTCAAACCAAGAATACTACTACAATTGTTGGACCCTTGGCAGGCAGACCTGGGAGTACAGGAGGGAGCAGAGAAAAAGAAGACAGGTTCCTCTCTTGTCTTGCTACAGGGTGATTCATACTTGATGACAGCCTGAGATATCAGAATACAAAGGAATTGTCATTGTATAAACTTAGTGGTGAATTTTGGTTGGGAGCCCATAGAAGGTAGTGATTACACACACACACACACACACACACACACACACACGCACACAGTGGAGTCTGATCACCTGATTATCTTTTATCTGAGTTTGAGCCAGTGCAGGACACACAATAAGCTCTAAATAAGTGTTAGCTAATATGGTCAACATAGAAAGGGTAGGGGATGATGTCAACAACCTTAACAGTGAGATTCATAACTGAGTTACAGAGTCAGGCCCTTTAGAAAAACTAATCTTTGTTTAAGAGAATGTTGCTAAGCTATCAGATCCATTACATTTCATCAATAATATTTTTGCATCTTACTTTTGCAGTAGTATTCCATACTTCTGTTTACCTACATTTGGATTCAAGCACATTTTGCCATTGACAAATGATGCTGAAAGATTCAATGAAATTGTGAAGAATCAGAAAATTTCTGCTAATATCGACACACCCGAAGGTGGATTTGATGCAATTATGCAAGCTGCTGTGTGTAAGGTATGCTGAAGGGAGTGCTGTTTCACTCTGTTAACATAAAGTTCATCTCTTATTAACAATTCTACTTCAAAAAGATTAGCTAATTTCCTTTCCTTTGATCTCTAAATTTCTACATTTCGTATTTTTCTTAAAATACACAATTTTTGCCAAATGTTTAATTAAATCATGTTGAAATGGGGACTGTTCTTTATGCCTATGATGAATAATCTAAGAACATTGTGTTGGGAAAATTTAGTTGAAACAATAGCTATGCATGATTAATTTTCAAAGATCAAGATCAGATTAGTTTTTGGATTAATCATGGTAAAAAAAATCAAGGGTAGAACATGTATTTTAAAAAGTTAAAATGCTCTGAATCAGTATATGTCCATACATATGACTACATAGCTATTGTTTTGAACCAACAAAGTAAGCTTTGGAAGTGTGCTGTCTCTACAACATCACAGGAACACTGCTTCTCCTTGACTATCTGACAAGTATCCACAAGAATGATTCCCTTGTCTTTAGGCAGGAGCCCTTCATGGAAAATATCAGGAAATAAACAAGGCTGAAGCTCCTAGAAAGTGGGAGGACCAGGGAATTAGAGGAGGAAGGAAAGGAATAAGGTGGGATGGAACAGCCAGGATGCGTTTTTACCCAATTGGTTCCTGAACTAATATTAATTAAAGGGGAGGGCTTTACTAAACACCAACAACAGACAATTTTAATTAGCAGGACCTTGGGGCTATACTTTCATAAGCAATGCTTATCCTTGTATTAGGTTTATAATTTTTGGATGACATCATTAGAAAGAGAAATATGTGCCTAAATGCTGGGTAACATTTTAATGAAACAGGCTTACTTTGAGCCCCTTTAACATTGCATTTTCACAAGTTTGGCTTCAATTTGGATTTGGGACCATCTATGACCTCTGCTCAATTTTTTTGGAGAATTGAAAGCTGGATAGTAAAAATAATTTAACTATGTAAAAGTCAAGATCAACTGAATACTGATTGTAGGGCAGCTATGCTTTTCTGAAGCATAAATCATATGAAAATGTTATCCAGGAAAAAGCAAATGTCACAGAATTTCATGTTTTATTAAAAACATTAATATCAATTCACAGTAGATAAAAAGGCTAAAATAGACTAGCAATATTATTTTTATAACCTAAATGTGTCCCAGCATAATTGATCCACACTCAATAAATGCCTGCCTCCCTCCAGTATCACACAAATGTTTGTTTCTCACTGTAGGAAAAAATTGGTTGGCGGAATGACTCCCTCCACCTCCTGGTATTTGTGAGTGATGCTGATTCTCATTTTGGAATGGACAGCAAACTGGCAGGCATCGTCATTCCTAATGATGGGCTCTGTCACTTGGACAGCAAGAATGAATACTCCATGTCAACTGTCTTGGTGTGTAACCTGCACTCTGTACTGTTTTCAGGGCTATAAGTAGGAGAATGGAGCAACAACTGGTGTAATACATGTGAAATAACTCACGCTTGGTGAAAGCCATGCACATTTTCTAATTTGAGATTAACAAGTTGCCCCAGTTCAATTCTCACCATCCTTAGAGGTTCCCACCGGAGCATAAGTGGGCAGTGGGACATGTGGGAAGCTGGATGTGCTATGAATCCCATGATCCCAGAACTTTCGCAACCTCTCAAAAAGCCTGTTGCTGGTGAAGCAATACAGGCAGCTCATTCTGTTCTCAGCCACAGCCTCAGAAAGGAGGGACCCAAACCAGAACAGTAACCATGTAGGATTTGCAGTGAATGATGGTCCCTGAATCATGCCATGCTTTCATGTTCCATGGGTAACAACTAGTCAGGTATGGCTTGGTTGGTGCTTATTAACCTTTGGCTTATTTTTTGTAATTTATAAAATGCTAGTGACATTCAAAGAAAACAACTGACTTTCGTAAAACCAGGAAGAAATTTCAGAGCTCTTTGGACACGCATAATCTTCTCAATAGACCCCTATGTATCCAACCACTTTTCCTGAACAGACCATGAGGCTGCCATGCTTGTGCACATGTTATTCCCTCTGCCTGGAATATTCTTCCCTCCTAGCCTGCTGAGAAGCTCTTCATTATCCTTGAAAAGTCAGCTCAGTCATTACTGTCCCCAGAGAGCCTTCTTTGACCTCTGGTAGGCTCTGAAGCAATCGTCTTTCCCTTCAGTTGCATATTCAGATGTGTTCTTGCGCATCTCTACGTAGAAATACGTTTTCTTATATCTCTCTTTCTTGCACAATCCTCAGGGCCAGGCCTGGTTTATTATCTCTGTTTCCTGATAGCACAGTGCCTAGAACACAGTGGGTGCCAACTAATGTATGAAATAGAGGCCAGGCGCATTGGCTCTCGCCTGTAATCCCAGCACTTTGGGAGGCCAAGGCGGGCAGATCACGAGGTCAGGAGATCAAGACCATCCTGGCTAACACTGTGAAACCCCGTCTCTACTAAAAAATACAAAAAATTGGCCAGGCACGGTGGTGGGCACCTGTAATCCCAGCTACTCGGGAGGCTGAGGCAGGAGAATGACGTGAACCTGGGAGGCAGAGCTTGCAGTGAGCCAAGATCACACCACAGCACTCCAGCCTGGGCGACAGAGCAAGACTCTGTCTCAAAAAGAAAGAAAGAAAACAAAGAAATAGATTTGATTTCTGAAGCAGCAATCTGCGATTGTCATATTTTCCCCATTTAACACTTGGGGAAATATGATACAGAGAATTTAAGTGACTTCTTAGAACAATGCTGTGGAGGTGTAGGTGGGGGAGAAAGAGAGAGGGAGGGGGTGCAAGAGGAGAGAAAGAGGGAGACAGGAACCTAGAATTCTAATGTCAATTGGAAAACTATTCTCTAAAAACTCTCTATTCTCTAGCTATTCTCTAAAAACTGTTCATTACTCACTACTATTCCTTGACCTAAATTTCTAAATTTCAACATGAATATTTTCCCCAAACATTTGATCAGTAGTATTCCCCAAATGTGTATATTCTTTAATCACATACTCTGCCTTTTCATATTACAATATCAGTGAGGATAGCCACATGTTGTCTTTTAGTCAGTGAGGGGCAAGAAACTGGAAAATTGATCCCCTTTTCATTACCCTTTTCTTGCAACTTTTCAAAAGCTCCACAAAAAGCTCCATTTTGAACGAGGCAAGATCATAAAAGCTAACACTACCTATTGCCTAATATGACCTTCTCAGCTAATAAATGTTCAAGTCCTTCTTTCTGAATAAGTTGAAACAAATCCACAGAAGCCAGAGACCATATCTATGCCTATCTGCAACATAGCCCCCAGGTCCTCTGAGCACTTCCTGTGTACTCAAAACTTGGGCCAGATTCCTCGGGCCAAAAAAATAATACAAGGTGGTTCCTGGCCTTGAACTTACAATATGGTTGTGGGAATTAAACCAACAGATCTGATTCAAATAGAAAACACAGGTTCGCTCACCTACGAAGGGCTATGTGATGTGATCCTGGCTACACACTAGCACAGCAGCTGAGGGGTATGGTAACATGTGGAGATAAGGAGAGACTGGCACTGGAGGGATTTAGGCATCAGCATAAAGGATTTGTATGCAGTTAAAAGGCAGAGGAAATGGATACAATTTGGTATCTCTATTAATAAAAATCCAAATGTGATGGAAATCACATATGACACAGCAATTTACAGTTGGGTAATTTACTGCAGTATTTTAGGCAAAACTACACTTTTCTCTCAACTTGAACCCTATGCCTAAAGAAGACTTTAGATGAAAATACTCCAGTAGTACTGAGAATATGTGAATATTCCATATCAGTGTACAGGAGGGCTTATTTATCAGTGTTCCTCCCTTTGGCTGACTTCTGTCATAATCAACATATTCTTAATTTAATTGTTAGCAGGCTAGTACCTCACTGGAGTTTCCTCTTTGTACATTATTCACATTTAGATTCATATAATGGGCAAATGCACATCATGTTTTCCAAACTTGAAAAGTAAAGTCCATATTCAAATTTAAAAATTAAGCTTCTTTTATTTTTTGTAAAGTACTCATATCACTGAGAATGAACAGGCCAATGGAACAGAAGTACAATGTAGTTTTCAATTGTCCTGTGAAAATATTGCAGGATTCCATACAACCAACTTGTGATACTAAAAAGGCAGTCAAACCAAACCCAAGGATTAGTAGAGGAATGTCATAGTGTGTCATACCTCAGCAACCCTCATTCCACCTCATCCAATTCCAATAGGAGTTTCAGAGCTACAAGAGTCACCTCAGTCACGTATATTGTAGTCCAACAGCCCCTCCCTCGACTGTAGCATCCCTAGCCTGCTGCTAAGTGTCACTTAGAAGGAAAAGAAATATTTCTCTACCCTTGAAAATATGACACACTGTTAGTCTTTAAATAAATTTCAAATCGTCGTCTTAGAAGTGGCAGACGGTGATACACCACATCAACAAGAACTGACTCTTGGGACTTGATTGGATTTATAAGATTTAGAAAAAGATTATTAAACCAACTACGTGAATAATGCTAATTGTGCTTTTGTTTACTCAGAGTGATAGAGCTATAATGCCTGTGAGCATTGAAATGCCAAACTCAGAAAGATATCTCTGAAATCAATATTCCTTTCTTTATTTACATTATTTTATTGAGATGATGTAAAATTATATATGTTAATTTTAGGAATATCCAACTATTGGACAACTCATTGATAAACTGGTACAAAACAACGTGTTATTGATCTTCGCTGTAACCCAAGAACAAGTTCATTTATATGAGGTAAGCAAAAATATCTTGGGAAATTCCTTCAAGGAGATTATGTGACATGAAACTTTAATATTAACTCTGTGAGTTTAACACATGGGAAGACCATTAGATAATCATTAACACATACCAAATGTACTGGGCGTTTAGCTAAGTGGACTCATTTAGTGCTTGCAATTTAAATTGTAAACACCGAGGTGCAGTAGGGCGTGGGGAGCAGATAAGGTGGGATGAGAAAGACTGAGTTAAGGAAATGAAACAGATAGATTGGAGGAGAGTATCAACAAATATAGGACCACCTACCTAAAAGAAAATTTATTCTCTGTCCCCTTGAATTATTTCATCTGACAAGGGAGTTAACAGAGAACAGAGAAAATCTTAAGAGTGGGAGGAGAATTGACTTCACCTTCTTTGGCATTTGCAAATTAGATACTTAGAAAAGACACACACAGAGACACAAGCTATTGAGAAGTGGAAAGTTAAAGGAAAAAACTTGCTATATGGGGCCAAAAAATAATTTACCCCTTAAACCAGCTGGATTGCAGCTCAAGTGTTTGAATGGAAGCACCAAGTGGAAAAAGGAAATGGTTTCATTAGATGAAGTGCTGTCCCCAAACCACTGTGTAAACTGCAAAAAAATACGACATATGCACATACAAAAGATTTCTGTGGTTTTTTCCCAGCCTTGGAAAAGTAATATGTCAAATGCCCTGAATTGATTTACTCCTAATCTACAGTTTTACAGAGAAGTAAGGAGTCTTTAGCAGGGGCCCTAAAAATAATGCAGAGAAATTAAATAGTCTGTGCCTTCTGTGCAGAAGCGTCAAATGCTCCTAAATACAGAGTTTGATCTCTCATTCCTTTTGAAAGGACCTCTTAACTTGCTTGGTGACTTCACAGGGCTTCTGAAACTCTCAGATTATGTCACAGAAGGCTTTGATTAAATGCCACTCACTACTAAGGACGGTACAGCCCCATGAACTTGCATCAGGTTCTGTAGAAAGGATCCAGCAGGAGATGCTATCTTGCATTTTGAATGAGAGAAGGGTATTGTACTCCCAGGTGAGATTGCCTTCTGCTGCAAACCAAGGAAGTTCCTTGCAATCAAGCTCCATACTTGAAACCTTTGTTCTACACAGAGACCATGTGGGTTCACCTGATCTGGGCATTTTCTTCAGGCTTTTTAGTATGTGATATTTGTTTCCAGTGGTTTTAAGTAGTAGAGTTGCAGTTGAGACTTTTTTTTAAATACCCCCAAATACAATAGTGAGTCTATTCTGCCTTTGATCCTTAAGGCTAGTGTGAGAGGACCCTGGGGGTCACAACACCTTCTCCACAGCAAGGCTCCAGTTTAGGAGTGGGAGAAGGAGTTGCACAGGACTTTTCTTCAAAGGGGAGTCTAGGGAATGCGATTGATGATCATGAACATAGACTTCCATAACTCACTTTGGTAATAGTCTTTAAGACTCACAACTCATTTATACGTCTCCCCAAAACTGCTATTAAAAAGACAGAGGAAGATGAAAAATCACTACATGGCAAAACAGAATCTGTCAGATTTAAGCTAGTTGCATCCATGATTCCCCTGTTGCAAGGGAAATGATCATTTCCGAGGAAAATGCCAGATTAGAGCCTGCCTCTAATGTAACAGCAGGACATCGATTTTGCCTGTCTTCTAATCTCATTATGAGGTGAATTTATGTTCTGTCATGATCTGTGGTCTTTACCATCCAGCCTTCACTAAATTCAAAGGGACATTTTCAGGGGGTCATATGACAGTCCAGGTCAGCCACCTGCTCTATGACTCTGACCATTTCATTGTTTTATTTTTATTTTGATGGGCTCATCATTCCATCTGTATTAGTGGGGGCAGGCAGCAGCCTGGCCTAAAGATAATAACAGCAACAGTGCACGTCCTTGAAGCCTTCACGCAGCATGAAAATGCTGATCTTCCCTTTTATTGATAATGAAAACTGAAAACGGTCCACTAGTGGCTTGTGTTGCCTTTCAATTCACATCTTTTAGGAGTCCTGTGTGTGCAGGAGTTCTGTGCAATTTGATGTTTGGATAACTGTGATATAAGGAACGTAGCTACTGAAGAATCACTGGAAAATAAAAACCAGTGATAGAATAAATAAAGTGATTAAGTGGTTAGATCTCATGAAATTCCAGAAGGAAAAATATTTGCCCAAGTTACATGTTAAGCATAGTTACTTGCCTGCACAGGCAGCACAGGTTTAGGTTCAACGAAGGCCCTGTCTGCAGCAAATTAAATTTATGTTGCCCACTCATGGAATGCAGGATAAATGACTGTTTTTTTTAGTAATTGTGGTAGGAAGCTTTGGACTGCCCAGGTGTGTAGTGTGCCTATACATTGTTGTAACAGAGATGAACGGTGAAAAGCATAAAGTAAGCAGTTTTGCCTTTAGTTCAGTATGACTGTAGTGTGCACCCCAGACTCCAGCCAACAGAATATTTTTGAACAAACTTATTATTATGAATAGTTTCCTGTTTGTCCAATTATAGGGTTCAAAAGATAATGATGATAATAGACTGAGCAGTGGGTAGTATATTACATTCTAGAGCTAACTACCATTTTGAATCAGGATTCAATTACCCAAGTTAAAAAAACGTTTTTATATTTCCTCTGTTATTTTAAAGTGTTTACTGTTAATTTACGATAGATAGTATCAGGCCACTAAACCTTAACTGTCTTATTTGAATAGTTTCTCTTTCCTAGTGAGCTATTGAGATAAAAAGCAATTAAATCAATATTCTTTATGACGTTGTCGAATCTTATTGTTAATCACTGTGGGCTATTTCCAAGGCTTTAAAATATCCTGTATCTATTCAAAATACCTACATCTGGCTTGAAAGATGACTTTAGTGAAGTTAATAGCAATAATTATTATATGACCTGGTATTTGTGATGTAATGCTGAAACACAGCAATTAGAAAGTAAACAAGAAATATACTGGTACTTCCAGTTTACTCACTAACTTCTGTGACCACTGATTAATATCTCTTGGTTATTAGGACAAAGCAATGTTTCTAAAGCCTGAGAGAAGGGGAGTACAAGCAGGTTTTTATGCAGCCAAAGGGACCTTTCCTCTGGAGACCAAAACCCCTCAATCATTAGCTCTTTGAGCAGAATAACAGGTCTTACTCATCTGTTTAGGCCAGTTCTCGAAGCACAGTAGATTCTCAGTAGCTTTTGTGAAATGAATTACAAATTGCAATAAAAGCACTTCATCTTTTCTAAAACTGGGTCAAGAGAAAGACTTGGAGTTTTGCGTGACAAATACTTGTTAAGATTGAGGAAGCCCAAGTGCACAGAGCAGGCGGGGACACCTGACCATTGCCAGGACCTTCTGCAGCCCTGGCTGTCCCTTCTTCCATCTCTCCCACATTGGACGCAGATGGCAATGAGGAAAGAACACTCTGCCATCAGTCTCAGGACCAACATGTTGGAGAAGCTCCGCAGCCTTCTAGCAGGCCATAAAAGGAACACCCTGAGCAAGTACCCACCTGATGACCATTAGATCTATAAACAAACATAAAGAGCAGCCACATATGCCATGAACCTGATGTCCTTGCGTGGCTTGTGGAGATTATCCACCATACATAAGTTTCCATTTTTCAGGAATCAATAACCCAGCTACTATTTTACCTCTTCTTTCTTCTACTTGGTTCTTTTGAGTTTTTCATTGCAGCAAGGGAGGAAAAGAGGCAGAGAATATAGAGAAAGAAAATAAAAATTGGACCCCTTTGCTATTCGTTAGCCTGTTCTATTATTGTTTTGTTTTATAATGTTCCTGTTGGAAAGATCAAAACAATTTTGCTCCAGTGGAAATCTCTTTATCTCTCTGGCCTCAGTTTTTAGAAAATAAAAAGACTGGGTGGGAAGACTTCCAGCCTCAACAGTCAATGACCTTGATTCTGGAGGAGGGAAATTACCATGAATTCCAATGATCTCCACACAAATAACAAAGTTTAGTAAGCTGTAATGTAGCTAATTTTAGGGCACAGTCTAGATATTCTTTATCCTATCAATCTCATTCTGTAGTGGATGGAGTATTCCAAACTTATGATTTTAGTAAAAATAAAATCATCTAGGAGTAAAACGACAACTTCTGGATTATAAGACATCTCCATGGAGGTAATAAATTGCTCTTTATTTAAGTGTAATGGAAAGTATTTTCATTTCTCCTTAATTGATAGTATCTGGGAACAAAGACTGAGGAGGGCCAGCTGCCTACACTTTCCTCATTAATGAAAACATCCCTTAGAGAGGGAGGATTTGGAAATAAACCTTATGTCGTCAGATTATCAGTCAGAGTTGTTGGGAGTATTTTCCAAGCTAATTGATAAATCTTAACCATGAAAAATCATCAGTTACTCCTTAGATCGCACATAGTACTTTTCTTCTAAAGAACTCAAAGCCTCATAATTGAGAAAGTAAACACAAGAAAGAAAAAGGTACAGGTTTGAAGCAGGACCTTAATGAGATGCCTGATTAAGCCAATACTTGCAGAAATATAAAATGAGATTTTTTTTTTTTTCCTTGAGACAGAGTCTCACTCTGTTGCCCAGGCTGGAGTGCAGTGGCATGATCTCAGCTCACTGTACCCTCCACCTCCCAAGTTCAAGTGATTCTCGTGCCTCAGCCTCCCGAGTAGCTAGGATTACAGATGTGCGCCACCATGCCCAGCTAATTTTTGTATTTTTAGTAGAGACAGGGTTTCGTCATGTTAGTTCACCAAACTGATCTCAAACTCCTGGCCGCATGTGAACCACCAACCTCGGCCTCCCAAAGTGCTGGGATTACAGGTGTGAGCCACTGTGCCGGATCTAAAATGTGATTTAAATAATGCAAGATCTAAATGCTTTGAGATTTACACAACACACAGGATACCTAGCATATCATTGAAACTAAGATGCTATGGACTGCATAGTCATTCATCCCTTCATTTCTCAAACATATCATGAGTACCTCCCGTGAACTAGGCCAAAGT